AATAACAGTTCCAGCAAAACATTAACGTGAATTATTTTTGATACTGTTTACAAAAATAAAATCCTATTTATGACTTGGTGAGAATTTTAAGACGGAAGAAAGACTGATTTATGAGATATTAATACCAATTAATTCAATTATATTGAAGAATTCAATGCCTTTAAGGAGTTTAAGGATCTGCAGGAACCCTGTAAGGTTTGAGGTGATGGAAAATAATAAACATTAGGGACCGGATTCTCTGTAATTTCACGTACTGACCATAAGGTGTCGCCATTACGCTTTCAACAGGTACTCCAATACTTCACATACTGTTCATAAAGACGGATTTAAAATACAGAAGTTCAGAATAATTAGTCTGGCGGCGAGTTTAACATCCAGCATGACGCCTCCTTTTGTTTGATCGTGTTTTTGACCGGTCCCTATGAGGGGACGGGCTGGAGGTTAGGTTTAGGACGAAGCTATGAACTGAGTTTAGCGTTCGGCCGTAGAAATGAATGCAATGTCCCCAGAGGGATAGCGTTAGCCAACCTGTGTGTTTACCTGCGGATGGTGTCCAGCTGGTTCAGGAACTCGTACACTCGAGCGTGGTAGTAATAACATTTCGCTACGACCAGGTCCAGAGCTCTGCGGTTCTTGGAGCTCACCTTCTGCATCAGCTCGTCAGAGACCTTCTGGGCCTGAAACCAGAACAACCGGGTCAGACTGGGACACAAACCACGCCTCCAGCTGTAGGAACCACCAGGAGGTTCTGCTCCATCCGGACCGAACATCGACATCCTAATAAACCCAGAAGCTTCTGTCTGAGGAGGTGGAAACAGAACTATGCTTAACCCATTAAGCCCGGCGGGCCTGGTACCAGCTGACACCTGCTCAGGTTTATCTATTTAGAGAAATGGCCAAAACACAGTCACATGGTGTTTCATCCACACCTCTTTAAATGGAGCTTTTACATTTCTAAAACATGTTTAAAAAATTAGTTTTATTTTTTGTTTTATAGCTGATAAACAAATAAAATTAGATTTAAAATTCCACCTGATGTGTTTGTCTCTGCCAGAGTAATGCAACAGCAGGTGTTCATTTTTAGCCCCGCCTATTAATGGCCGCCATCATTGGAAACTAGAGGCTCAGACCTTTCCAAGGAGGGGTCAGAGGTCATTGTGCGACCATTTCAGGTGATGGAACCGGCATGTGTTCCATAAGCTGCTCTGTTATTCTTATTTTCTATTCAGTTTGGTGATTTTATTGGTAAATTTCAATGAATCAGCGACTAAATCTGAGGAGCAAAGACTTTGCCTCATGCTGAAGGTCTCCAATAATGGAAATCAGCATATTTCTCTGAGCAGATTCCCTTTTATTAGCGGGAAAATGCATTTTTGCACATTAGCATTGTGCAAAAATCCCATTTCCTCCCAGCACTCTGCCCACTAAAACCTTTGTGGAACAAACATGCTTCAACTTATTGAGTCCAGATTAGCTTGATTTATAGTCAAGATGCGGATCTATAAAGTCTGAGGTTCATCCAGAGTTTCTAATGAGCTTTCATGGTGTTTTGCAGAGTTTATTTTAGGGAAAAAAATTTGTGAGGCTAAATATTTTTCATTTTTTCTTTGTTTAATCGGCTATAAATTAGACAGGGTGACATTTAAAATAATGGTTCCACCTGAAAAATATTTCTTAATGCCTTTCAAATACAGATACAAACAATTATAATTCCAATTTATAGTTTGGGAGCTGAACTTGCTTTAATCCACATATGGAATGTCAGGTGAAATTTGAGCCTCTGGGTTTAAGGGTTTATAGGAGAGTTTATGAGATGGAGCATCAAACTGAACATGGAGCTGATGGACTATACCATAGATCTCACATGAAGCTAATATTAGCGTCAAAAGTTCACTGTGTTGCTTTAATTAATGATCCATTGGTCAGGTTCTTCCCCATCAAACCAACAGGGGGAGCTGCTGCCTGAAGAACAGTGAGCGAGTCGCACCTCAGTGTATCTCTTGCTGTTGGTCAGGTGGATCACCAGCAGCAGCTGCAGATACGCCTCCACCTCCGGGAGCAGAGGAGCCGACGCCGCTTTCCCCGTCCTCGGCCGGAACTGGATGTCTCCTTCCGCCGTCTCCATGGGCTGAGACACACGGACAGAAAACGTCAATCCGCCGCCGTTTGACCGCTTCAGATAAAACCAAATCGCTGCGAAAAGCTGCTACTGCTCACCTCCTCCAGGAAGCTCAGCAGGAAGTCTCTGGTGGCGGCGTTGCTGGTAAAGAAGCCGGTGAGAGCTTTGTGGAGGACGTTGGTGTTGAGACGGCGGCTGGTGGACGGCAGCGCCCGCAGGGCGCGCAGGACGAAGCGCGGCTCCTTCCCTGAAATGGCCTTCTCAATCTGCTTCACATGCTCCTTGATGTCTGAGGACGAGATGGAGACGCGTTCAGATCCTCCCCCAAGCAGAGCTGATAACATCATCACTGCTGCTGCAGCTCAACTAAAGGAGCTTCAGCAGAACTTATTGGTCCCAGGAAGCTGCTCTGTGATGACATCATGTATTAAACATACATCTGAATAAGGCCCAGAGGAGATCAAAGACAGTGCCGCAGACAGGAGGCCTCTGATTGGTCAGATCTACATCAGCTCTACTCTATACTTACTTCCTGTTTGGTTCCTTACCGGCTTGTTTTGTTTGTCTGACCGCCATTGTGGAAAACGACTGGTGAAGATGGAGCAGCTAGCAGAGCGAGGTGCGTGAGAACGCTGGGACCCTTTTTCCAACTGGATCCCCGCTCTTTTTGGCCCTCATGTCCCTCTATTGTCGCACAAACTTGCCCCCACTTCCTCACCGCCTCGGCCGTATCTAGACCCACAGCTAGTTCCTGATTGGCCCTCTGGTGTTGTAGCGTGGAATAACAGCGCAGACCACGCTTCAATATTGGGCATAAATCAAAAATATCTGCGACACACTGATGCAGGAGGATAACCAGGCCTTAGAGTGGCACCGTGTCAGATAAATATCTATTGGTCATTGGTTAAAAAGGATTAGAGTCCTGTCAAAGTACAGTGACAGAAAGTGTCAAAACGCAAAACCTCATTTACCTCTGAATGGACAAATGAGCATGAATTTATGACAAAAAGTAGTTGAGACTAATTCCATGGCTTCTGCACACTTTTGATGTGATTTGGATGAAAGCAGTCAAAGGAAAACTGCCGTTGAACTTCACGTGAGTTCCGATTAACATAAAAGTACCGTAATTTTTGGACTATAAGCCGCGACTTTTTCCCCATTTTCCAACCTTGCGGCTTATCTATGGACTTTTACAGCTAACAGCCACTAGGGTAATACCTAAATATATGGATTTACTATCCACAATGTTGACGTCACATTTGCTTCAACACACACTCCACTGTCGCTAGTGGAGAGGAAAAACTCCCTTTGAACAGGAAGAAACCTCCAGCAGAACCAGGCTCAGTGTGAGTGGCCATCTGCTGAGGCCCACTGGGGTTCAAGGAGACAGAAGCAGACATAGAAAAAGAAGCATAGATACAAAAGGCAACTGTCAACCAGCTCCACAGGCGGCCCCGTCCAGGAAACACACAGCCAGGCAGACGAGCTCCGAGCCAGCTCCCATGTCAGAGGATGAAGAGAGCACATCCAGTTAGTCACAGTCAGAGAAACAGGACTACACTGGAAAACAGGCCGAGCTCCAACATCTAGAAACAAAGGTGTTGATGGCAGCAGCACAGCTGATATTTATCTCCAGGATGGAGTCACAGCCAAACAGGAACAGACGAGGTGAACCTGTTGATTGCAGATGTGTCTAGTAGTTCCCATTGATTTAGCTTGTAAAGCGGGGAGAATGGCGCTAGGCTTACCGCACCGTGACGTCACTGCTGGAAGATGGCAGGAGGGAGGAGTTACTATATAAATGGCCTCTTCCAGACTTAGTAATCAGTGATTATTATTTTTTGATTAACACTAAATTTCTGAAATCAATGCGAATGTAGTAGTTTTAGGTATAAATAATGATCCAGTGAATATTCCTGCTGACCAGACGTCTCCTTTAAGTCCACACATGTTATGCTTTGTGGCATTTTGCACTTTAAAAGATTAAAGGAATAGTACACCCAAAACATGATTAGCCTTCATTTTCTACTCACCCCCATGCTGAACAACATGTCTAAATGTAAATTCTGGATGCTACCCACTCAGGACACTTGGAATACATTGGACGAGCAGTATGGAGGAATATTGACACGTTTTTTGTGGACTTTTATGGACCTTTCTGCCTCGGGCGCCATAGACCTCCATTATTTGAATGTCAGCAGACAGCAAGAAGCCTCCCAGATCTCCAGATGCATTTGAGATATCAAAAAAGTACTCCAGAATGTTGTTCAGCATGGGGGTGAGTAGAAAATGAAGGCTAATCATGTTTTGGGTGTACTATTCCTTTAATCTCTTTGGTCACTTTTTGGAACACCAACATGCAATGAATAAATACAAATACTGTGAAACAATACTTTTTTTAATTATTTAAAATAAAAATCCTGTTCAGCTATGGTGCTATAAAAACTAGAACTCAGACTGGGTTTACTGGGAGGATTTCAGCTGTTAAATATCTGAGATTCTTCACTATAAATAAAATCTTGATGTTTTCTTAACAGTTCAGAAAACCTTGAATATTAAAGGTTAAATAGGAACAGTTTTATATTTTCTTTTCTTTTATTTAGGACCATAAGATGTTCTGAGGCCCAACCACTGAAACAGTTTGCTGCTTTTCTGCTGTCTCACTGTTTACCAGCTCGCTTCCTAAAGAGACCAGGTTCTGGTTCTGGTTCTGGTTAAAGATCTGGTTCTTGTTCAGTTTCTGGTTCTGATCTGGTCCTCGGTAGATAAACCAAATAAAACCTTTCAACGTTTTGCGCCAATTTCTTCCGTTTTACGGCATCTGACAGAAGTTAGAATCATGCTAACAGGCTAAGGCTAACAGCTTGTTTTCTTCTGGATCAAACGGTCCAGAACCTCCCTGGTTCTGTTCGGGACTCATCCCCCCCCGGTTCTAGCCGAACATTAAAGCCAGGTTTTACCCTCCAGCGTCAGGCTGTCCTGCTCTTTGGGCTGCTTAGCCGCGTTAGCAGCCTCTTCCTCCGGCATCTCCACGTCCTGGGGCTCCGGGGCCGCCGCGGTCTTCGCGTCCTTCGGTTCTTTCGGCTCCTTGCTGGACTTGTCCCGGCCACCCGCCTTCTCTCTCCGCTTGCCCCCCGTCTCCTTCATGTTATGTTTGGGCCGAACTGTGCGGTTCCGAAGGGTTCGATTCCCGGAGCAGCTGAAGCAGATCCTCACAATGACTGGACAGGATTCTCTCTGCAGGCAGGAGCAGCTGATGCCGGAGCAAAGAACAGGGCAGGCGGAAGCAGTCGATCACAGATGGAATAAACCGGAAGTAATATTCAGAACTGAAAAGGTCCAGAGCCTCAAGAGGAATGAGAATTTTTATTAAATTAAGTTAATAAAATGTTTAAAAAAAGTACATTTTAAACAAAATAAAGCTTCAGACTTTATTATTGTTTTAATTTTAGTCTGTTAGATCAGAAACAACATGATTTTTCTTTTTATATTCAACATCTAAATTTTAACATTATTTTTTTCACATTAGAAATCAACAACCTAAAGCCATTTATAAATATAATAGGCGCCTTAAAAGTTCTTTGCAGCAAGACAAAGCTAAAATATAAAAACAACAATGCTGTAAAAGAAAATACGGAAGATGATTAGGGCCACTATTGTTTTTATTTTTTTATTTTTTTTTAAAGCTAACATGTTTCTTAAATATTATTTCCATTAAATATTGGAAAAAAGTCAGATTTATGACTTTAATCTCAGAATTTTGACTTTAATCTCAGAATTCTGACTTTTTTCCCAATATGAAACTGAGATAAAATTAAAAAATCAGTTTACGTTTTTTTATTTCAGTAGCCCTAATCCTCTTCCATTAGAGAAAAAGCTTAATTTCACCAAGATGTAAAACAGGCATCTGAACATCCTTTTAAAAAAGAGTCACAAGCTCTTATGCTTTGCTACAGAAACTTGCCCCAAAAAGTCAAACTTATTCAAGTCCACGCTTTTAGAACCCCCCAGTCTGGTTTTATGGATGCAAATAGCTCTTTTCCCACAGATATTTACTAGTTAAAATAATTACCGCAGCACTAATACTCCCCTGGGGCTGCCCATGGATGGGTTGAAATGTAAAGTTTCAAAAAAAGTCATACAAGTCATTTTTTCACTATGTCATTCATTCCTTTATAAAAGTCTTTCTTTTTATTTAGGAGCTAAATATTTATTAACCTCTTTAAACCGTATAAGTTTGGATTTAAGCAAACTAAATATTTATTTTGCAAACTAAACATTTATCTAAAAAACTAGATATTTAGTTTGCAAACTAAATATTTACATCCAAACTAAACTAAAAAATTTATATAACAAAGTAAGATTTTTATTAACGAATGAATGACATAGTAAAAAAACTGACATGGAAAAAAATAACCCCCTTATTTTTCTCTTAAAACACTCTAATTAACCATAAATATTGCTCCTATTTTTTGACTCTCTAACTTTACAAATGGCATCCTATAAAAATGAGGCAATCGTTTAAACATCCAACCTGTTTCAGACACACAAAGAACTCAACCCACAGTGATTTTAAAGGATTTATTTAGCTTTCTAACGCAAAAACAAGGTTTAACAGGCACAGAATGTGAGAGGAGGGTGTAGTTTCTGAGGTAGGGAGCAGTTACCGTGGAAACATTCAGATACAGCTCACAGATTAATACTGAAAGGGTAATTTGGATGGATTAACTTCCAGAGCTGCTGGTTATGCTCTACTGCCATTAAAATCCTAACATAGCATTGGAAAAGTAAAGTTTTTTTCTAACGATGCCCAAATGGCATCTTTTTGTGGGTGAGATCCTTTAAATACCTTTAGCTGTGAAGTGGATGTGCAGGTTTAGGGTCATTTTGAAACATCATCTCATCGATAGGAAGCTGCATGGTTGAATTAAATCGGTTTAATTTGTTCAGTGAAGCATTTTGTTCATCTTCAAAGGTATTTTCTTATTTCTTTAAAGAGATCCGTAGGGTCATTGTGGCAGTTTGAGTGTTTGTTTAGAGCAGGAGTCTCAAACTGGTTCCAAAAAGGGCCGTATGGCTGCAGGTTTTCTTTCCAACCAAGCAGTAGCGCAGCCGACTCCATTCATCTCGTCAAGTCATCATGTTAAGACGGGACTCACTTCTGGAACCAGTTTTAGACGCCTGGTCTAGAGATTCTCCAGAAATGAAGTACCTGTAGGGATTTCTAATGAACTGTAAAAATCTTTATGGCTGCCTACACCAGGCATCTCCAACCTCGGTCCTCGAGGCCCGCTGTCCTGCAGGTTTTAAAGGTTTCTTTGCTCCAGCACAGCTGATTTTAATTGAAAGCTGATTATCAGGCTTTTGGTCTACTGCAATCATTATAATCAGCTGTGTTAAAGCAGGGAAACCTCTAAAACATGCAGGACAGCGAGCCTCGAGGACCGAGGTTGGGGATGCCTGGCCTACATGATGAACGCGAGCTAAAGATCATCGAGGAAGTTTCTGAAAGGTTCCAGAAGGTTCAAGGTCCGATTAAAGTGAAGAGGTCCCTCCATGAGATGTTAGTTTAGCAGCTTAACAATGTCTTTTAGTTCTTTGGAGCTCAGTGGAGATTTGTGGTGGATGAAGTTGTGCAAATGATCAGGGTTCTATTGGGACCTTAAAGCAGAAACATGTTGGTGGAGATTCTCAGACATCCAGGTCATACTCATTCCAAAAAGTTAAAGTTAAAAGACTATCCACTGGACTTTGTTTTCAAGTTTAAAGACGTTTCACTTCCCATCTAGGAAGCTTTTTCAATTCACTATGTCTGGATTAGTGTTGATTTCCAGGCGTTTATAGAGTAGCTCAACAAAGCCTTGTAATAGCCTAGAAAACATGCAGATTGAAACTGGAAAACCAGAAACCACCCGTTAATAATGGGAGTCTGTCGGGTTCATAAAATGTAGGATTTTGCTTAAGAAGAACTGAAATACACAATTTATGGATACAATTCCTGCAGGAAGGAGAGACGGTTGAACCCCAGACTCAAACGCAAACGAACGTCTCCCACTTGACCTCCTCTGCAGAGCATTTATTAACAGAACATGACGCATGGTTACAAACAGAGTATTGTTCTGACAGAACAATTGATCAGTTCATAAAGACAGGATGCTCCATCAGAATGACAAGGCAGGATGGTCTCCTGACGGGATCATGAGACAGGAGTGGAGCTTCCCCTTGCAAAAATGTTTTATAATCATCACTGAATAAACCTAACAGAGTCGTTGAGGTCGATATAGGCCTGCAATACCTGATAACTGGCCCATTACTCTGAAAAGGCAATCATTAAGGGTCATTGTTGGCCTGGCAGCCCTGGCCAAATATTTTGTCCCCTTTGCATAGCGATGAGGGTTGAGATGGTATTGGGAAGGAATCAACTCTATTGCTGCGTTGTAGGTTTTTGAGAACTGAAACCTGAGTCCACCCCTTCTGTCCAAGGTTGGTTTGCTTCCTTCACACCCCTTTAAAACCACCTATCTTCTTTATCTTCTTTAGATGTTCACATTGTAGATAAAGAAGACCGACGGTTTGAAGCCATTTATGTTAAAAGATAAAAATGTTTAACAAAGGGGGGGTCGACTCAGCGTACAGCTCTTAAAATCCCTCCCAATACCATCCCGCCAGGTCAGCCAGGCCAACAGTGACCCTTAACGACTGCCTTTTCAGAGGAATGGGCCAGTATTGGGTATTGTAATACAATGTGCACATTTTCTAAGTCATTACAAAGCTTTTGTTGGGCTACTCTATAAAGCCTGGATCTCAACTCTAATCCAGACCTTTTGAATTGAAAAAGCTTCCTGGATGGGAAGCGAAACGTCTTCAAACTTTGAAAACAAAGTCCAATGGATTGTTTTTTTTAACTTTAACTTTTTAAAGTTCTGAGGAAAGGATAATTTGAAAACAAATGACCCAAAGGAACTTCCCCTACAGAGGAATTTGCAGTTGAATGGTACCAAAGGAGATCTTTATCGGGGTCTAAAAGGGTCCCGGCTCTCCAGGAACTTCAGGTACTCCAGGTGTCGTCGGGCGAACACCTCGTTGTGTCGAATGTAGTGGATCAGGTAGGCGATGAGCATGCCGAACCAGAGGAACATTGTGATCAGGGTCAGGAAGTCTGTGGTTCTCCTCACAGACTGACACAGATCCCAGTCCTGCATCAGTACGACCAGCGGAAGTCCAACAGCTCCTGAAACGAACGATTAGAACCAGAATCTTTTTTATGAGGTTTAAAACAAGGAATCACGTGGAGCCAACCTACCGAGGTTTGGAAGGTCCGAGGTCTGACAGATGACTTTCTCCAGGGAGGACGTGTCCATGTCCAGCTGAGGTACTGACATCTGAACACACACAGGAAGTCATTCACCTACCAACCTTAGGAAGCTCTTCTCTCAAACCGAGGCTCACCTGCATGCTGCAGTCACAGTGCCACGGGTTCTGGCTCAGGTTGGCTTGGACCTGAAGTCCACCAAGAACCACAGGGTCCAACGTGGTGAGGAGATTGGATGAGAGGTCCAGGTACCGGAGAGACGACACCAGGCCAGAGAAACATCCCGGCTCCAGAAAGGACAGCTGTGATGGGAAACAGGAAGTGAGTAAAAACCATTTCCTCCCGGTTCTCTGCAGTGGTGCCCTACTGGAGGGTGAGGACCTGGTTGTGGGACAGATCCAGTTCATCCAGCAGGAACAGATCAGAGAAGCAGAAGGCAGGCAGAGAGGTGAGCCGGTTCTTGTTCAGAAACAGATGGGTGGTGTGATTAGGCAGGCCGGCCGGTATCTGCAGAGACAAACACATCTGAGAAGGTCTCTGGACCCATTCTCCTGGACCATCAACCAGACTCCTAAAGACTCAACCATCTACATGGGAATCAACTGGTTGAACTGGGACCAGCGGACAGACCTGAGCCAATCGCAGTCCGCTGCAGCGAACAGTCAGCCCACCGTCTGCCGCCTCCGTCTGCTGGCAGGCGTTGATGGAGGACACTCGGTTTCCCCGGCGCCACAGTGCCACCCCTTGGAGGGACGATGGGGGGATTAGAAAAAGGAGGTGCAGCAGCTTCAGACAGCAGAACATGACTTGAAGGAAGGTCACAAAGCGCTGCGCTCCTGTCAAACATTTATCTGCATGCTCTGTTAACGAGGAAAAATCACCTGCAGAGAAGAACAGAACAGGAATCCTAGTGTTAGATGAACAGATTACTGATCCTTGAACAAACCTTAGGACATCACACAGCTTCATGAGAATAAATCTATAGATCAACCTGTAGATCAGGGGTCACCAACATGATGCCCACAGGAACCAAGGGTCCTCAAGGACCACATGGGGGCCCCTCAGCATCGTCTGAAAACAGAACAACTCACCAATGGACTAAGTTTGAAATTGTATCTTATGCTGTTTCAATTACTTAAAAAAAAAAACATTTATAGAGCATTTTATCATATGAATAATTTAAAAGATTTAAGCATTTATAGGGATTTATAAATGACAATATCTAAAAGTAAATTAGAAATGAAAAGAAACAATAGAAATATGTTTATTATCTATGAAGTTTAGGTGAAGGCCGACTCCTCCAGCTCATAGGTCAGTATTGGTAGCCCTTCCTATGACTCAGTACCAATGAATTAGCCCTCAGTCTTTTAAAAGGTTGGTGACCCCTGCTTTCGATCATCAAACTATATTTAACATTGATCACATCTGCATGTTTGCAGTAAAGTCACTGCAAAAAGAGGAAGATAAAACGACCGGACAAAGGGATTAAGATGAAAGATCAGGATAAGGAACAGATTTATGATGAGATGAAGGAGAAGAGCTGCTTAATCCTCCTGCAGGGATTAAAAAAAAAAAAAAAACAGCTTCAGGTTCAGGAAAACAATAATATTTTTTTTTTCTACATAGATTTAAAACAATCTTTTTCTAACCTGTTTCAAGTTTTACCAACTGATTAATTCTAAGCATGAGGACATTTTTTGTTGCTATTATCATTTTGTATCTTTTGCATTGAAAACTCAGCCAGAAAACAGACCATAAATTAGAAAAAAAAAAGCCTTAAGCTGATTGGACTCCATTTAAAAAGCATGAAGTTAAAACACACATCTATAAAGATATAACATGTAAAAAAATTAGAAGCAAACAAAAGAGGTTTTTAATACTCACAGCAGTTAAATCGGAGGACAGAGCTCTGTGCATGAAACAGATGGAAACAGCTGTTACACACGACCGTATAAATAAATAAATAAATAAAAATAATCAAATAAATACAGAAAAAATAAATACATAATTAAATATCTAGTTTGATAAATTTTTATTCAACACGAATAATTATCCACCTAAGAGAATTACAAATATAATATTTTTGAAAAAGTTATAGAAAATAAAATAAAAACGGAGATTGCAGAGTTTATGATAAATGTCACCATCTAGTGGACAAAATTTGGTATTACAGCACGGAGGAAATTTAACACAAAAAAAATTAACATACAACAAAAAATATATTGGTAATATTTTATTATTTAATCGCTATAAATAATATATAGTAACAGCTTTTTTTAAACCTCTGCATAAGTTATTAAAGTTATGGCAGAATTTAAAGGTTTTAAAGTAAAGATTATCTCCTGATAAAAATGTGTTTTGATCTTTGAATAGTTTGTAAAGAAGCAGCTGATGGTTGTTCTACATTATAAATCAAAAGGGGATTAAAAAAAAATTAAGGAAAGTCATTTTCTATCATTGTCCGATCTATAATGTTTAACAAATATCAGGTTTAACGTTTCTAAAAATCCCAGAAGGCAGGATTAGGATCCTAAGCTGTTCCCTCAACTGGAGGTCCAGGTAGAGATAAAGCAGGACTAACCTTTCTGTTTATATTAGTTTATTTATTTATAGGAAAAAATACAACAGTCTTTAAATAAAAGGGAAATAGCATAAACCATTTACCTCATAACTGTAAGTAAAAATAAAAAAATAATGTTTTAATAAAAACAATTATTTAAAAAACAAAATCAAGTGATCTAATTATCTTTTTCTATAAATTATTGGTCACCGCTCCAAGATGGTTTCTATCAGACAGGTGACAGGTGTCCGGTGGGCGGGGCTTCCTGTCCCTCGTGCAGCCTGCTGTGAACTGATAGCGCGAGCAGAGTGTCAGGCTGTGACGTCACAGAAGAAGCAGAGGAGCCAGACCCAAACTAAAGCAGAACTTTAAAGTTCCCCCAGCTGCTTGGATTTACTGGTTTCCAGTCTGAGGCTCATCAGAGTGAGTAGAAAACAAAATCACTTTATTATTTACATGAAATATATCATAACTAAAAGTTTATTCAGTTATTTAAAGCAACCAGAGTCAAGATTTGGTAATAATCAGAAGATGAAGCTGTTAGAGGAACAGATGATTAACCTGCTTACTGTCAGGCTACAAGGCTGTATAAACAAAGTTACTAATTAAAGTGTTTTAGATCAATTATGTTTAATATTTTACTCTGTGATAACAATAAATAATAAATGGATTATTTGTTTGACGTGTTCTTATGTTTCTACTTTTCTAAGATTTGTAATCATAAGCAGTTTAATAATAAATATAAATGGCAATGAAACAGGCTAATAAACTTTAAAAAATGTGTGGGAAACCCCTTAAACTCCACAAAATATTCTGGCAATATATAATTTTAATATTTACTTCCAACATCAACATTACAGATTTTAATGGAGAAAAATTCCTTTGGTTTTCAGGTTATTGAAGCTCCGCCCACTCCGGTGACCTCACAGGGACACCTTCAGCTAGACCTCAGTGTACCATAATGACCTCCACACCTGACAGTGACACCAAGAAGAGGCCAGAAGAAGAGGAAGATGAAGATGAGGAGGAAGAGGAGGAAGGATGGAGTCTTCCTCCCACCTCCATGAAAACTTCAGAGGACGACAGAACCAGCCAATCAGATGCCGGCGAGAAACCTGCAGCAGGTCAGAGCATCGGCTGGGACTCCGCGGAGGAGGCGGGAATCACCCTGTCTGACTCTACTAGGGAGGAGTTGCTATGGCAACAACGGAAGGAGGAGGACGAAGAGGAGACGAAGGCGGTGGGCTCATCGCCTGATGGACGATTCCTGAAGTTCAACATCGAGATCGGGCGAGGTTCCTTTAAGACGGTTTACAAAGGCCTGGACACGGAGAAGACGGTGGAGGTGGCATGGTGCGAGCTGCAGGTAACATCGACACGTGGGAATCATCATGACGGCAACATGCAGATTCTTAGCTCAGATTTCCATGTGTCCAACCTGAAGATGGTTTAAGATGAAGGTCCGTTTAGGTCTGCAGTTCTTGGTCATTTTCTGGTGTTTTTTTAGTGTCATTCCACTGTTACAAGAACAGAGCAACAAAATTCCCTCTCTGCATTTAACTCATCCCCTTGGGGAGCAGTAGGCTGCCATTGTACGGCGTCCAGGGAGCAGTGTGGGGTTAAGGGTCTTGCACAGGGACTCAGAGTGGCAGTCTGTGGGAGTGGGGCTTGAACTCTGAACCTCAGGATTCCAATCCCTAACCCCTATGCTGCCACTCCCCAAAGCAGGCATTATTAGCGTTAAGGGTCTTGCCTAAGGACCAGCACTGGCAGCTCATTCCCCCCTAGCTGGGATACAAACCCAGGCCTCCTGTTTGCAAGCGGGGGGACTTACCTTAGCTAGCAACCCAATACCTCCAGCAAGAAGAGCTTTCACTAAAGTTCTGTAGAAGCTTGACAACCAGGGTCAGACCTTAAACCCACCAGGGTTTAGGGTCTGAAACATTTGCATTGCTGCACTTCTTTCCACATGTTGCTACATACTGCTTGTCAGCTGGCTGAAATAAAGCTTTACACCTCTTACTTTTAAAAAGACAGTTTCAGCTGTTTAGGTGTCTGTAGTTCAGGTTGCATCTGCCTCTGACTGCGGCTGAATCGTCTTGGCTCCAGACCCTCATGGTGTCCCCAGCAGGTGCTGGGCCCAGTTGGGGATAGCTTTGCGTTTCTCCTTCAGGCTTGGTCCCACCAGGGTTAAACCAAACATCAGTTACTTACTGGCCTCATTTTTGTGGTCATCATAAAGGTTTTTGAACAGCTATAAATCTACAATCAGCATTTAAGCCTCAAACATCAAAGCCGTTGGGATAATCTGAGCAATCCCCTTCACCACAGTAAGGTGGCTTTTCAAGGAAGATGAGGAAACTCCTACAAGTCCAAGTCCGTGGTTCTTGACCGCTATTAGTCAGCTTTCCCTCTTTAGATCAGAGAGGAGATCCTGCCCCTAATTTTGGGGTCCTGTTCACAAGTGAAGGAACAATGGAGCAGGTGATCAACATGGTGCAGCTGAAAGAACACAATCCAAGATACATAATAATCATTGAACTTTATCGATCTCACATTAGAGAAATTTACCTCTGCATTAACTCATCCCCTTGAGGAGCAGTGGGCTGCCATCTTTGGGTTCCTGGGGAGCAGTGTGGGGTTAAGAGTCTTACTAAGGGAGCTTAGTCAACAGGGTGGCCGGGCACTCAGTGGTCTGGGAGAGGCTCGGAGTAGAAGACGCTTCTCCTTCACACTCAGAGGAGTCAGCTGAGGTGACTCAGACACCTGTTACAGAATCCCCCAGGATGCCTGTTTCAGGTCTGCCCATCTACGTTCTCCCTTTGAGCTACTGTGTATACAGTGGGAATGTGAAGCCTGTCATTCTGACCCCTGGGTACCAAACCATGAGGACATCAGGCAGGTCCATGCACAGAGCTTAGCTCCTGTAAAACACACTGAGGTGTTTCCCTTCACCTTAAACTGCTGACTGTGGCTTAACACCATGTCTGCAACAGGAGGGTTTTCTGTCCTTCACCTACTTGTGTCACGGTAACATCAGCCGGCTGCAGATAGATGCACATATGGGTGATGAAGTGTGAGTCAGCAGTTTGTTGAAGCATACACAGTATCTGAGTGAAAACACGCTGCTGCATGCTGGTGATAACACGCATAGACCTCACTTACACAGGGTTATACAGACCTACTGAGGACCTTACATTGCCTTCTGCTGATCTGAACCAAACTTTAAAACCTTTAAACCTTTAAAACCTAAAACTGAACCTCTACTCCAAATAAGGCAAAACCAGGAAAATAGTTTCAATTCGTTTGGAAAGCAGCAGAGTTACAAATTAAAAAGAGCAAATAACAGACTTTAGGTCCAGATGAGTTAAAGATTTTATTCTGGTGATTTCATGTATTAGCTAATTTTATTAGCCTTTTAAACAAATACTATAAACTGTTTGAAATTTTCCTTAGTTAAAGAAAGAACTAAATTAAAGTGAAATAATTTATCTAATTTTATTTGTATTTTTATCTTAAGGCAATATTCTTATTGGTGGCTGTTCTGTAATTCAGTGGCATAAAGGGTCATAAATAAACAAACATAAAAACCAAGTCTTGCAGCAGAGTGAGATGTTTTCATGTCAGCGGTTCATTAGCAGCAGATCAGTGAGGGTGAAAGCTTCAGAGTCCTTCATGGTGGAGCTTTTCCCCCACAAGGTTAACGGCTGAATGTTTTTATGTGTTCTTCTTCAACAGACTCACCGTCTGACCAGATCCGAGCGTCAGCGCTTCAGTGAGGAGGTAGAAATGCTAAAAGTTCTGCAGCATCCCAACATCGTCAGGTTCTTTGACTCTTGGAAGTCCACCAAATGCATCATCCTGGTGACGGAGCTCATGACATCTGGAACTCTGAAAACGTGAGGCCAGCCTAGATATTCTCTGATTTGATTTGCTTTTCTCAGTTTGCATGACTCCTTAATGAATTTCACTAACTTAAACCGTTTCGTCTCGTTTCTTTCTAACCATCCAGGTACGTTCGAAGGTTCCGGCCGATGAAGCTGAAGCTGCTGCAGAGATGGAGCTTACAGATCCTAAAAGGTCTTCACTTCCTGCACTCACGCTCTCCACCAATTCTGCACCGAGACCTTAAGTGTGACAACATCTTCATCAATGGACCCACCGCCTCGGTTAAGATCGGAGACCTTGGGCTGGCGACACTCAAGAAGGCCTCGTTTGCCAAGAGTGTCATTGGTGAGTCGTAGCTGTCCCATAAGAGGTGGTTTTGTTCCTTTTGCGTGTCTCACACTGTTTCACGATGCATTCAGGAACTCCTGAGTTCATGGCCCCAGAGATGTACGAGGAGAAGTACGATGAAGCAGTGGACATTTACGCCTTTGGAATGTGCATGCTGGAGATGGCCACGTCAGAATATCCGTATTCTGAATGTAAGAATGCGGCTCAGATCTACCGCAAAGTCACCAATGTAAGGCGCCGCCAACCTCGCACCACCTTACGTCCTGCTCGGTTCCCGTATTTGACCATTTGCTTTTCCTTCAGGGAATCAAACCGGATAATTTTTTCAAAGTACAAGTCCCAGAGCTGAAAGAGATGATCGAGGGCTGCATTCGAACCGACAGCAGCGAGAGGTCAGTGGAGGAAACACAGTGGCTGGTTAGTTTACGGTGCTGAATTCAGCAGAAAACACTGAATCTGTGCTTCGTTCATGATTCTCATCTACAGCAGAGAAACACTGGATCCTCATTTACAGCAAAGGAACATTGTATTTCTGTATTTTCATTTATAGATTTACCGTATTTTCCCGACCATAAGGCGCACCGTACTAAAAGGCGCAGT